CCGGGGTTCCGCCTTGCAGCCCAGCTCCCTTTGGATGAGCCTGGGTCCCCCGGGTCTGGCCTAGAACTGGGGTTCAGAGCAGTCAGAACTGGGGCCCAGCACAGTCGGAGTTTTATCTCCTTCCCGCTTGGGAACGCCAGCCAGGCACTCCGCTCCCTCCTCTCCGGCTCTGTCCTCTCCACGCGGGCCACGCATCTCCGTACCTTAGGCTTTTACAGCTCCTCCGCGCTTCCTTCTGGTTTTCTCCTTGCTTCTCGTTGTAGAATTTCCAGTCGACTTTCCTGTAGTTTTGGGTAATGTCCATTTTATATTTTAGTTGTATTTTATTGAAATTGTTGTGTGCGGCTGCAGCTAGGTGTTTACCTGTCAGCCATCTTGGAACGACTCAAAGACTTTCATTAGGTAGATTTTAGGAAATATCAATGTAAAACCCTAAAGAACAAGGACTATTTATACCACACATTTTCGCTGAGCTTTTTAATCTCTTGTGCCAGAATAATTCAAAGTATCAATGGGTGTTTCCCTACCCCCCCACCCCCGATTTTATTGATATACATAACTTAAGCCAGAAATCTTATTTCTAAGAATTTTTCCTAAGAGTATAACCCAAATATTGTGCAGTGTGGTGTGTGCAACAATACTGATTAAATGAATTACTTTATAGCCATTCACTGGAACAATATGCTATTAAAATGTCAATATTTATTGACATGAAAATATGGTCAAAATAAATTAAATGGAGAGGGATTATATATCCATATATATCTTATCAATCCATATTTGTTAATAACAAGAATATATACATGCGCAAGCATATACAGCACACACACTACGACACATATGGAGAAGTATATGCCAAAGTCCACGATTTATACCAAAATGTTAATATGAAGTTATTAACTCTGGATGGTGAGTTTGCAAAATTCTTATTTTTCTGCTATGAACACCTCGTACAGATACAATTAAAATATGAGAACCACAGACTTTAGGATCACCATATAATCTTCAGAAGGCAATATGTGTGCTTGGGATGGGGTGGGAAGCAACACTTGCTCCAAGATCTCTGTGTTGCCTCTCCTGACACTTTCCAAAATATATCCATACAAGTTCCACAGGTGTCACAGAGAAGGGTTCAGTGTCCAGGTTTTCAGAAATGATTAAGACATTAATTCATTTTGTTTACTATGTATCACATGGCACACACATTTACTGAGCCATAGAATCCTTTGATCTACATCCTATATAGATTAGGACTTTTACTTAACATCCTAGAGGCCCTATGCATAAAGATTCGTGCAAGAATGGGCCTTCCTTCTCCTGGCTGCTGGCAGCGCCTTCGCTGTGGCCGGAGCCGCCTTTCTGCCTTCCCACACTGCCCAGAGGCTGGGGTGGTGCTAACCGCCTGCATCCTGCCCCACCCCCTGCTGCTCAGAGTCTGTGTATGCAAATTAACCTGCCATCTTTGTTGGGTTCATTTGCTTAGTCACTCCTGATTAGTTGGTGGGCATCACAAAGATATGGTCAATTAGCATGTTAGTCTTTCATTAGGTAGATTTTAGGAAATATCAATGTAAAACCCTAAAGGACAAGGACTATTTATACCACACATTTTCGCTGAGCTTCTGGCCTGTCTTCCTAGATTGAGTAATCTCAAAACAGCTTCATATTTATCACATCTTTGCAGTCTCAAGCTTTACAGTTTTAAATATAATTTGCATCTTGCTGCCAGTTTATTTAGAGCAGTGTTTTTCAAACTGGATTTCCACCTACTAGACGGTTTAGAAATCAATTTGGAGGTCACAATGCACATTTTTAAAATATCAAGATAAAATTCAAAAGATAGTAAGAACAAGTAATGTTTTTGTAAAACTTTTGTGTCCACACATACTCACATGACACACAATATGAAATACATTTATTATTGCATTGCAATAAAAAAAAAGTGAAATCCAATGAATTAAAGAGATTAATTTGCCAAAACTGGTTTGACTCAATGGATAGAGCGTCAGCCTACGGACTGAGGGGTACCGGGTTCGATTCTAGTCAAGGGCATGTACCTTGGTTGCGGGCACATCCCCAGTAGGGGGCGTGCAAGAGGCAGCTGATTGATGACTCTCTCATCCATGTTTCTAACTCTATCTCCCTTCCTCTCTGTAAAAAAATCAATAAAATATATTTTTTTAAAAAGATTATTTTATTGGTAAATAGGTAAAATGAACACCTATTTCAAACACCCAAACCCTTTCCTTATTTATATTTGGTAAATTCAAATTAAAAAATTATCGAAGGAATATAGTCAGCTAGATCTCCAACTTAAAAACAAGTTCCAAAAGTTGTTTAAATACTGGTTCCTTAGAGTTTTTCTTGAAGAAACTACCATAAAGAATTTAGATTCTTAATTAGTTCATAAAAGCCAATTTAAACAATGTAGCTGCACTACATTACTAATGTTATTACTTAAATTACTCTACCTTGTTTATTTATTGTATGAGTTCAATATATCTCCAAGGACACATCCTCCCCACACCCACAGCTTGGTCCCAGCACCAAGCAACTCCTCCACATGCAGCAAACATTACCACTGGGCAGGGCAAGCTGTGTTTCACAGTTCAGAGGAGGAAAAAGTAGGAAGTCTAGCAGCTTATGTCCTGGGAAACTGAGGTAGAATATGGGGCCCTCCAGACATCCTCCATCTGCCCCAAGTCTTTCCCCTCACCTGCATCCCAACTCTGGCACAAGGCCAAACATGAGAAAGACATTTGCTCATCAACTGTGGGGATTTTCCCTATTTTAATCAATTCTTTTGAGATTGCCTAAGACCCTCAAACTGCTATAATAAAAAATATACATCATCTCACTGACTTTAATATTGATAGTTTCACTATTGGTATGTTGATAAAATCATTACCTTATCACCTGACTGCTTTTATCATAAATGTTTAGATATAAAAATTCTGTTACCAACAAATTTCTCTGCAACAAGACAGACATGTCAGTGCCTAGAGAAGCGTGAGTTTCTCAAATTAACTTCTGGAAGTCTGGGTTATGTAGAATGCCATTCTCTAACTCTGCTCTTACCAATTTCATTGTGTCCTGGGAAACAGCTGCTCTATGAAGGCCCTCAGATGCGTGGAATGTAATACAAATACATTAAACCCCCCCACCCACGCCTCAGTCATATGGGCAGAACCCAGACTGCCATTCCTGACAGGATTTACCCACCCCCCACGGAACAAACACTGACCAAAGTACTACATTGCCAGGTCAATTAGCGCTAAGTGGGAGCCAGGTTTTCAGTATAATGCTACCCAGTCAATCTCTTTCTCGGCTGTGCCATCGGCTCGATCCCGGTGTTCCCTGGCTGCAATCCAGCAACCCCGAGGAAGGAACCAAAGCTGCAGGAAGGGTTCTGTGCAGCCTGAGCTTGAGGGAGATGTGGCACAGCTGGCTCTTTCTTGAATCACCGCCAAAGCACACGTCCTCTGGTTTGCCCATCAAGTAGGCGCAACAGTTTAATCCACATCACAAGCCCCAGCTCCCACACCTAGACATTCCCGTCTCAGGGACACTGGCTGCAACAGCGCGCCTCTGAGCAGCCGGGCCCTCCGGGTGCAGACATGTTCACTCATAGCTAACACATGCCCGAATTTTCTGGCTTTACCTCTTGCTTTTGTGTACCAGGATAAGTTTGGGAGTTTAGTAGGGGAAGGGTTAGAAATCATTTCAGCATATACTTTTCAAGTTCTGCCAGGCAACCTTTTATTACATCGGAAAAGCAACACTAGGCACTAGATCTTGCAAAATATGTTTTGACCAATTCTAAACTTTCTGAAATTAAAAATGCATAACCACTGTAAAGTTTTTAATGAACAAAAAAGTTAAATACAAACTTTCATATGCAAAATAGATTGTTGTAACCTCAGAGCCAAGTACTAAATTTTCTTCCACAAATTTCAGTAGGGGTGGAAGGAGGGGGTGGGGGATGAAATCCTAATGAATACAAAACTTAATTTCAGCTTTCTATATAGAAAAAAAAAAAAAACTTTGAGGGAAAAATAGCTTTAAGTTGAATAGACCCTTTTGAAATAAACAGCTCAGGCCAGCCCTTACAATTCTGAGGTTTATCCTCAACCAGATCTAGGGTGCAAATGAAGATCAGGGTTTAGTTACTTCAAATCCAGTTTCAAGAGCAGCAGTCACCTCATTTCCAGAAAGGAAATCTCTCTAGATGACCATCACAGTCTTCGGAAGATGCTTAGGCAGCCAGAGTTTCTTGGCCTCAGTCCCACTTTCCGACACCTTGCCAGTGCCGGCGCCGGAGTCTCTGCCTTCCTCTAAAAGGCAATCAGAGCCCCACACCCAGCACTTCTCCTGGCATTTTCAAACCTCAAAAAAAAAAATAAAAAAAAAAAAAATAAAAAAAAAAAGACCTCCAGCTTCAAGTTGGCAGTTACTGCTCCAAGGTCAGAGAAGTCAATTAATACTTCCTTCCTCTCACCTCACTGCTTTCCCTCTACGTCTTCAGCAGAGAATGGCAGCTTGATTAACATTCTTTTCAGAAATAAATAGTTCAAACAATTCAAAGTTAACTGTAAAAGAGCAGCAGAAAACAGCCACTGCCCATTATGTATGCAAATGAGTGAGTGAATGAATACACGTGAACAAACACAGAAAACAACATCTCATAGAATAAAACCTGCATTTTCCACATTCACGGGGGGGGGGGGGTCTTTTTAAAAAAAGTATTAATTAGCGTTTGTTCCTATGTGGGTTGAATAGTCCAGGCTCTGAGCAGGCACAGTCTTACAAACAGGTTGCAAGCAGCCCTCCGCATACCAAGTCAGAACACTAGGGTGCAGGGCCTTCATGCATGTCTGACAGCTCAGTACCTGTGAGAGAACAGGCGGTGCAGGGACTTTTAAACCCACAATGCATGAGGTATATGAAAACGTTCGTCCATGAAAGAACCACCAGCAGCTAAGGGACTGGGCCGGGCATTCTCACAGCAACTGTTGATGAAGGATTTCCCACACCATCTTTTTCCGGAAGAGAGGCATCTGGTGCTGCAAAGAATCCACCAACAACATATTCATTAATTCGCTTGCACAGCATCAACAACTTTTAGGTGCAATCATGCAAATAAAGTAAGATGCCATGTCCATTAGGTATGCCTTAACATTTTTACATTTTTTTTAAAAATATATTTTATTGATTTTGTACAGAGAGGAAGGGAGAGAGATAGTTAGAAACATCGATGAGAGAGAGTCATCGATCAGCTGCTTCTTGCACATCCCCTACTGGGGATATGCCCACAACCAAGGTACATGCCCTTGACCGGAATTGAACTCGGGACCCTTCAGTCCCCAAGCCGACGCTCTATCCATTGAGCCAAACCGGTTTCGGCTTTTTTACATTCTGATACAGACTCATGAAGCCATGAAAAAGGAGGTCTATAATGTTTATTATTATATGTTTCATTAGTATTTTTACATGTTAAGGAAAATATGCAGAATTATACAGTAAACTCCAACAACCTCATAAAAGAAACATGTACCAAAAATGGGAATATCCAAGAAGTGGCACAATAGATCACTTTTTCTACTTATATCTTTTTCTCAAAACATTCTCAAAATATTCTGCTCTCTCTCTGAGAAAAACTTGAACTCTATTTAAGTAATAAATAGATTTGGCAGATTTCTTTCTGCTCTACCAAATGTTGTGCATTGCCAATACTGTTCAAATAGCAACTTCTCCCCTTTGAATCTCATGTCATTAGGCTCAGAATAACCACTTATTTAAAAGCATCAAAAAATGACATTCTTGCCGAAACCGGTTTGGCTCAATGGATAGAGCGTCGGACTGCGGACTGAAAGGTCCCGGGTTTGATTCCGGTCAAGGGCATGTACCTTGGTTGTGGGCACATCCCCAGTAGGGGGTGTGCAAGAGGCAGCTGATCAATGATTTTCTCTCATTGATGTTTCTAACTCTCTATCCCTCTCTCTTCCTCTCTGTAAAAAATCAATAAAATATATATTTTTTAAATGAGATTCTTTGCATAATGTTATTGTTTTAACTGATAATCACTACATGGGACAATTTTTAAAGCAGCAACATACAAGGTAAATCCAAAATCATCTGAAACTCAACTAGTCCTTTTTATGAAATCAAATCAAAGTTAAGCCCTAGAGGTATTCCTGGTGTCTCATTATAAATAGCTGGATATGCCCCTTCACTAGTGGTTTCCCATCTGGAGGGACCTAAAAGTCTTACGTCATGGATTTGTACTTTTTTTCTTTTTCTTTTTGGATTTGTACATTTTAAATAGCTCAAAACATGTAGTAAAAAAACTGTACATTTACTCTTAGTAAAACTGATGAAGCTCATAATAAGTGCTTTTATTTCAGACTGGAACAGTATTAATTCCACATCAGAACGCTGGTTCTTTCATGTTGCCCAAAGCTTGGAATGGGGTTATCAGTCCTACTAGTTAGTAAGTACAGTTTGGTAGACAACATCTATCAAAATGAGTTGTGGTTAAGAAAAATATATTTTTTAAAAGACATATTTATTGATTTCAGGGAGGAAGGGAGAGAGAGATGGAAATATCAATGATGAGAGAAAATAACTGACTGGCTGCCTCCGGCACGCCCTCTTCTGGGGATCGAGCCTGCAACCCAGGCATGGGCCCTTGACAGAATTGAACCCGGGACTTTTCAGTCCACAGGCTGACGCTCTATCCACTGAGCCAAACCAGGTAGGGCAAGAAAAATATTTTTAAAAAATTTTAATATTTTTAAATATTTTTCAGTTGTAAAAAGGTTGAGAATCCACTATTACAAACACAAATTCTCATTTCCAACATATTTTAATTTTCACTCAAATACAAAGCTTGGGGAACCAATAATAACTAGACTAGAAGGGAAAAGCAGAATTCATAATTACAGCTTAGACCTGTGGCTTACAAGGCCTGATTTCCCCTTGCAGTTACCTATTCTTACCTGCCTCCTTCAGCTAAAAATATCAGTCACATTCAGAAACCAGTGAACACTGGAGGTGAAAGACAGCATACTGACCCCATGATCATGAAGACTAGGAAAAACCTGAGGGCAGATGCAGTAACAAACCCTCATATTAGCAAGAGTAGGGCTACAGCCAAGTTTACAGCAGTGACAGCAGCACAGCTACCATTATTAAGATCTTAATGTGCACCAGGCGCTGCTAACTCGATCTAAGTTTATCTTGTTTAGTAACAAGTGGATGGGGAAGAGTCTTCACTCACCTGAGTAAATGTGATAGGTTTGTCCCTAGACATATAATCTGCATATTTACAAGTAAACATTCCACAATCACTCCCATTCAACTGTTGAGGAATCTCCTAAAATTACAAAAAAAAAAAAAGGAAGGGAAGAAGAGGTAAAATTTCATTAAATACAAACTCCTTTGACTTTTTCTAAATATTACTGTGGATAAACATTATAAAGGTAAATATTAAACATATACAAAATAGACACATATACATACACACACAAATTAGTCTTTACGTGGCATTAAAATCCTAACCATGGCATGGAGTTTGTGACCCCATAGAAAATGTTTTTCAGAAGCAAACAGAAAAAGGAAAGAGAGAGTTTCCATCTCTGATTTCATATGAAGAAACCATACTGAAAGAAGAAATTCTAGTCTGAATTATTTCAGAAATTTATAAATTCTGAAAAGAGCTAATGTGGCTCAATCAGAATATGTCTACAAGACAACTAACTTACTTCAACATTGTAAGAGTTAAGCTTCTCCTCCCTAGAGGAGAATAAGACAACCGCTCTGGACCCCCACAGCTGCAAGCAGGGGAGGATTAAAAAAAAGCTCTCATAGGCTCTAACCAATTAGGAAACCTTACCTTGCTGCTCAGTTCTGTGCTGAGGCAAAAGGGTAACATAACCCCACGAGAGGTAGTAAACACACATTCCCCAGCCTCGTTGCACTAATCTGGGCCAGCCCCTCACACACTTTGGCTTTGTTATAATGAGCACAAGGGAATAAGAGTGTAAGAGAGTCTGATTCCACTGCTGGAAAACATACTAGATGAAAACAGCTCAATTTTTAGTCAAGGAAATCCAGATGATTATTGTGGAAAATTTGTTTAAACATGCACACCACACATACATATGGTAGGTATTTCTCACTTTTCTTTCAAACCCAGCATCTCTTACAGACTGGTAAGAACTATTTAATATAGTTGTCAATTCTATAATAATAAAAGGCCAATATACAAATCGACTGAACAGCAGAATGACTGGTCGCTATGATACTCACTGACTACCAGAAGGCAGACGCTTAACGCAGGAGCTGCCCCCTGGTAGTCAGTGTGCTCCCACGGGGGGAGCACCGCTCTGCAAGAAGCCGGGGTCACGGCTGGTGAGCACAGAGCCTCTCTCACCGCTGTGGCAATGCTAAGGATGTCCGACTGCTGGCTTAGGCCCGCTCCCCTGGATGTCAGTTGGACATACCCCAAGGGCTCCTGGGCTATGAGGGCGCAGGAAGAGCTGAAGAACCCCCGCTCCCCTCCCCCAGCACGCAATTTCATGCACCTGGTCTCTAGTATACAAATAAAGAGAACTTATTTTCTTCATTACATTTCCCAGAACACAGTCTCCATCCTAACAGACTTCTTATATCTGTGCTCTCCTCAGGAAAATTTAAAGTTTTCCTTTCTAATTATTCAACTTAGAAATGAAAATGGTTTTGGCCTGGTAGACACAGGCTAGGGCTAAAACTGAATTAATATACTTTACTTTAAAATGAAGCCATTAGGACTCAAAGATATACACCTTTTTCAACCCTGAATGAGATTCAAATCTGGCAAGACCCAAACACATTCACAAATAGCATACATGGGACCCTGAGAACTAAATATACAAAATGTCCTAATAAGTTTTGAACAAGAACTTCAAATTTTTCATTAGGGCCTACCAAGAAAAGTAGCTGACCTGAATTTACTGAGATTTTTCTTTTTTCTTCAATTTTTCAAGAGATATGAGCATGTACCTAACATTTATAATTTAAGCAAGAAGATAAAGCTAAGCAGCAAACATCTTGGTTAAAAAGATTAAGAAGTAGATCATTCTTAAGATGTACATACACTTCAGGAGAATGCATGCTTGCGGGTGAGTGTGAGGGGAGGGAGGGAGGAAGGAGATCAAGCATAAGTAATATGCCTCTGACAGAAAGTGCAAAGAAGTATTTGAAATACAGATGCTCAACACTTACATGTGGCTTCAGGCTATAGTGCGTCCACTCTAAAAGATTCAGGTCAACATTTCTTTTGGTCTTACTTTCATCCTGCAAATACTGACTAAAAAACAACAAGAAACAATGGATTGATGAACCCCTTAAAGACAACAAAGGACTTTGTGATGTTTAACAGATATGCCATTCTCAATCCCATCTCGATTAGCTTTTGGTCTTAAATTTTAATTTTGGGGTTCTTTTCTGCTTACAAAAATTGTACATGCTTAATTTCTAAAAGTTAAAACATATAAATGTAAAATCCATAATAACCACTTCAGAACTATTATTAATAGTTTGCTGTGGCTGGCTGGTATGGCTCAGTGGTTGAGCATCCACCCATGCATGAAGAGGTTTGTTCTACACACCAAAAGGGTTTCAGGTTTGATCCCTGGTTGGGGCGCATCCAGGAAGCTACCCATCTGTTTCTCTCTTACACTGATGCTTCTCTCTTTCTCTCTCCCCGCACCACTACGTTTCTCTTTCTCTCTCCCCTTCTCTCTCTCAAATAAAAAACAACATACATTTTATTCTATTAAAAAATGGACTTCATTTTACAACCTTTTTTCTCACTTAAAGACAGATATAAAACAAAACAACTGGCTTGGACTTTTAAAAAAAAGATACAAAGCCAATCTCAATTAAAAAAAAAGGGGGGCAGGAAGACTATTCTAAATTAAAGGTGACTAAAGACATAAAATACATGCATGAACCCTAACTGGTTTCCTAGATAAGGAAATAAAATCAGAACATGGACCACATACTACATTAAAAAACATTTTTATTAATTTTAGAGAGGAAGGGAGAGCGAGAGAGAAACACCAAGGATGAGAATCATTGATCTGCTGCCTCCTGCAGAGATCGAGCCTGAAACCCGGACATGTGCCCCAACAGGGAATCAAACTGTGACCTCTTGGTTCACAGGTCGATGTTCAACCACTGAGCCATACTGGCTGGGCATCATTCAAAATAATGTATCCCAAATAAATCTAATTCAAATCCCAGGATTTTAATAAGATATATTTTACATTATAACACAAGACGAATTTGCTTTCAATGATGCTACTAAACAAGACTTCTCAGATAAGATCAGATATTAGGTTATTTTTAAACAAAACAGTGGGTTCAAGTTAGATCCTGAACACCTGGGAAGATAGCCTTGACTACACATTAGACTATAGGATTACCTAACAAGAGCATAATGAGGTAGCAGTGAAGTTTTTTAACCTTTACTTACAGGAGAATTTCACAGATCCTGTTGCCCTTCTGTCCCATAGAATCCAGATATTTAAGACATTTTTTTCTTAGGTCTATCACCTATAATGGAAAAATGCAACACATAGAAACAATCATAACAGGAGAATTTCTAAAAAAGAAAAGCATCTTTTAAAAAGTCAATACATGTACCAACATGAATGGATCTCTAAGACACATCTACAATAAAAGAGAAAGATGCAAATTGACTGTACCTTTGCAACACCCACCAGCCAATCAGGCGTGAGTATGCAAATTAACCCAATAAAGATTGTGGGTTAATTAGCATATGCAGGCACCAAGTGGCCAGGGTGGGGCGGGACACTTGCATCATCGCCATGGCAACAATGCCGGCATTTTGCACCGCCCCAGCGCCCCAGCCGCTCAGGGCCTCTGGGCAGCATGGGAAGGCAGGACTGGAGTGAAAAGGTGGTGCCAGCTGCTAGGGAAAGGAAGGCCCATTCTTGCACGAATCTTCATGCATCGGGCTTCTAATTTTTATTTAACATCACAGATGAGATGAGTTTCATTTCTATAAAACTTTTCTATTCCTACAGAAAGGCTTAGAAACTCAACCCCCAAAACACTAGTGGTCCTCTCAGAGTAATGAGATTTTTTTGCTTTTTTCTTTATACTTTTACTTTTCTATAACTAACCTGTACCATCTTGTAAACAAAACTAATAAATGACCCATGTGTACTAAAACTCTTTCCTATTAAAAATGAAAGCTACTTGGCGACTCAGCGAAAGCAACTCTCTTCTATCTTTCTAAGATGTTCTGACTCAAGAACCAAGAAGGGACTTTGCAGAGTGTGCCTTTAACATACAATATGAACTTTCACTGGACAGAAAAGTGCAGCCTTCATTATTTAAGAAAATGGTCATTTTCCAAATTCCGAACAATTAACCCTGTAGACTCACCACCAGGCTCCAATGTACCTTCCGATGAATAGGTACCAGAACTAGTTCCTGTTCAAAGAGATTGACCGCTTTGGTCCATCTTTTCACTGCTTGGTAACCCCCAGACTTTAATTTGGGATAGAAGAAAGTACTGAATGCATGAAGTACTGGATAGCCTTGTTTTTTATTTCTTTCCATGAGAAGATTCATGTAAAAATTAATGACCTGTAATACCAAGAGAGTCAACTTTAGAACATGGCAAGTACATTATCAAAGCTAAGTTTCTAACCAAACTGAATTCACATTCATTAGACAGTAAGAAGCCTAGTGAAGGGAAGGTACCAGAGAAGGGGATAAAAGAACTTTCTATGGCAGAAGATGAAATATAAAAATAATCAGTACAAAATGGGAGGAACTAAGAAGGAATGAAATTATACATTTGGGACATATTAGTAAGAGAGTCAAAAGAAGGAACTTAAGGAGCAAGTTTGCAATAATGAAAAGATGTATATAACTATCACAAAAAATATGCAGAAATATTAAATGGAAGTAAATTCTGCTATATATAAATTACACCTCAATTTTAAAATATTAATTCAAAGGAAATATGCAACACTATATTTTATTAATTTTTTAGGTGGGGGCACTATTTTCCTTTTCCCTGTATTTTCTAAATTTAACATGTAATAAACATGATAAACTTACCATGTGAAATAAAACATACTAATATTAGAAGAATTTGTTTATATATAGTCAGTAGTCATGAGAGTGTAGGCAGAAAGAAAGGCAAAGAAAGAAAATGTAGGGACTGAGCAGTTGGGTAAAGGATGAACTGGAAAATTGGCAAGAACTAAAAACTAGCTTTAGCTAAATATGTAAGGACACAAGATTACAATTAGGTGAATTTTTGCAGTTATCACTCAAATGAAATAAAGAAAAAGACATATAGTGTACATATAATGATCAACATATCCCTTTATTTTAAAACAGCTCCTATAAAAATTCATCTAAAATAAAATATCACTCGCTGCTTTCTTCCAGTCATCAGCTGCACCCAGGGTTTATAAAAACATTAGTGAAGACTAGTGAATGAAGTGGTGGATGAAACGAAGCACAGATGCAAAACAGGGAAATAATGCCAATTAAAGGCAGCAAATAATCAGAATTAACTATCTCTACAATCCAAGATGCTTTTGTTTTAGGTAAAACTGAAAGTTGCTTTACCAACCCCTTATAATTGGGTAGATACCACTTTGGTTATGGATGTAACTGGTCAAGCATAACTTACTTCATCATTGGAAGACAACTTACTTCATCATTGAGCCAGTGAAAGTTCCTCAGGGTCTGGATATCCCCTCGAGTGATGCGCAATTTGAAAGCACTACTTAGGATCTCATCCTGTGGGCCATGGCCTAGAGCGTTACTGATTTCCTTTTCCATGTCCTGAATTAGAAAGTCCAGTGATTGCTACTTTAATATAAAGCCACTATCAGATACTGAAAAGTATGAAACTGAAAAAGCCAATTTCACTTCTGTAGCACCTGACCCTTAAGAAAATATACCCTCAAGGACTTACTAAATTAATGTATAAAAAGCTTTAAACTTAGACTACAAAAATCTTACTAATGGTTATAAAAAATGCTAGTTGAATTGTTAGCTTCTGAAAATAGTGTGTTAATATTATTTAAATTTAAGGTATAGTCTCAAGTATCCCACTGCCATTTATTGAGTACTATGGGCCAAACATGGTACCAGATGCTTGAAGTACATCATTGATTCCTGCTTATGGGGAAAATATATTTTTTTAATATATTTTATTGATTTTTTTACAGAGAGGAAGAGAGAGGGATAGAGAGTTAGAAACATCAATGAGAGAGAATCATCGACCAGCTGCCTTCTGCACACTCCCCATTGGGGATGTGCCCGCAACCAATGTACATGCCCTTGACCGGAATCGAACCCGGGACCTTTTAGTCTGCAGGCCGACACTCTATCCACTGAGCCAAACCGGTTTAGGCGGAAAATACATTTTATAGGAATAACAACCTCAGAGAATTTAGGTTATGTACTCGAACTCATGAATTATTAACAGGCAGAGCCACAATTTAAACCCAGAAGTTTCTAACTTACTAGCCTTTGCTCCTTTCACAATAACTTATTAAGAGTATCTTCATACTTTATTTCCCTTCTAAACTTTTATTGAACTGCATCAAAGTAATAAAATTAGGACACCTAGTAAATCACACTATTCATCTTGACATGAGGAGAATAAACAAACAGGCCGAAACTAGGAAACTAGGCAGCAATCTAGCCCTGAGTCCTTAGACAGATGGCTTCATCTAAAGGATTATGCAGATAAATACATATTTAAGCTACAAGACCGAATCTATAAACCCGACAGAAATTATTTCACACCAATATAGTTAATATTGCTTGTCCCTACTGCACACAATTTTGTAATTTTATGGCTCTTTCTCCACCTGCATGCCCAATATATAGTAATGATCAAGAGGTAAACTGAATAGGACTGACTACCACCTACTAAGATGACAATGAAGAAGAAGCCAATCAAGAGTAATAATATCTCTAAATTGAACTTAAAAGTTTAAGGAAGACCTAGACTTTAAAGTTTATACCTTTAACATATTGAGGATTGAGTTTTAAAAATAGAAGTAGGGGAGGGGGGAGAAGCCAAGACATGAGCTCAACTTTAAAAATTTTAACTACCTTCATTTCCTTGTTTTCTATAAGTTTTTACTATTTTCATATGCAATAATCAACAAAGAATTTTAGTAAATCATAGTCACTTAAAACTGCAATGAACTAATTCCTCATGCCAAACCCACTCTATGTAACCTAAAATATTTTATGTTAGAAAGACTATACAAACAATCCATTATTTTCCAAGATATGTAACAATTATGTCTACCCACATTTGTTAAACACTAATATGATCCCTTAGGCCATCTTCACAGATCACTAATGATCCATGTAGCCAGTGACTGAATAGTCTGTAGGCTGGATTTCTTTCATAAATGTATTCATAACCTGGAGAAACTCTTCAGAACAGTCACCCAAGTCTTGAATAACTTGAGTTATTCAAAAACATGTCTCTTAATCTGAGCAACACATGAAACAATACCTCTGTAAGTTCAAGAAGATCATCTGTTCTTTTATCTCTCTCTTTGCCTGAGCAACTTTTTTCTTTTGTGTCAAGTGTTGAGATTTTCCTCCTGAATAAGCCATTGCTCCCACTGCCCAGGCGGAGTCGGGCTGACACTTCTTCAGACAGGTCAGGTTCCAACTGGTGTCCCCTCCTCTGATCAAAAAAATTTCCATATTCCATTGACTTGTTTAATACTTGTACATGTAAGCATACATAACACATGAAATATAAGACAGTGATATTATCTTGAAGGAATAGAGAATTAACAAATCATATGAGTAGCTTTAGCATATCTGTTCCTGCAAGAGGAACCAAACAATGTTCAAGATGTAAGGCTCACAGGACACCTCAATTACAAAACCATGAAACAGAACACTTATCATTTTCCCTGAAGGTAAACAAGAAAAGCATTTTTCAGTTCTCTTATCCGAATTAAAAATAACTTAGTTAAAAAATATATTTGAGCCGAAACTGGTTTGGTTCAGTGGATAGAGCGTTGGTTTGCGAACTGAAAGGTCCCAGGTTCGATTCCAATCAAGGGCATGTACCTTGGTTGCGGGCACATTCCCAATAGAGTGTGCAGGAAGCAGCTGGTGGATGTTTCTCTCTCATTGATGTTTCTAGCACTCTATCCCTCTCCCTTCCTCTCTGTAAAAAATCAATAAAATATATTTAAAAATAAAAATAAAAAAATATATATTTGAAAGTATTAAAACAGCAAAATATACAATCCATAATCCAAAAAACCACTGCTATCCTTATATTTAGTAAACTTGTTCTAAAAATTATAAATTATAAGAAAATATGCAAAACATTAATGTTCACTTAATTTTTACAAAATCAACACCAATGTAATCACCATTCAGGTCAACAAGTAGCATTCTGCCAGCATCCTTCTTTATCATGACCCTACATAACCCTTAATATTGAATTGAATCTGTATTCAAACTATTTTTAAATTTTAGAAATTTACTTAGAAATAGAATTTTGAACTAGAACCACATTCGCAACATACCTAGCCAGTACTCTTCACTCTAGCTAACTTCCAGGCATACCAGTCCTGGGAAACCAGTAGCTGCTGGCCCTTCCCCTGGTCACAGACAGCAAAGCCTTCAAGTTCAGCAGGCATAGAAGCAGAATATGGTCTTCAAGTTATTATTACCACCACACCATCCATCCTCTCTCAGGCTTTCTGCATAGTTTTTGTCCCACAGATGGTAAATGATAATTACACACAAAGCGCTTCACTCTGAATCACCAGAAATGGGGAAGTCAGAGAAGGTAATGTTCTAAGATTTATGACTTAAGACCATGGCTTAAAACTGTAACTTGGGTCCCACCGATATGGCTCAGTGGTTGAGTATTGATCTATGAACTAGATCACGGTTCGATTCCCAGTCAGGGTATATGCCAGGGTATATGCAGGGTATATGCCTTGATCCCAGTAGGGGGCATGTAAGAGGCAGCCAATCAATGAGACTCTCTCATCATAAAAGAAGCCAAGCAACACACATAAAGGCTGAGATGGAGGCAAATTAAGTCTCTCTTACAAATAAGGTGGCTATCACACAGAAATAAAATTCTAGCAACTCAGAAGGAAGCTATCTTCCTTGAAGTTGTATATCTTCAATGTCTGTTAATTTCTCCAAGAGTGAGAAATCAAATGAACATATATCATTTTTCTTTTTTTCATATGCACCAAAATATTAATAGTAAGTCAGGTGAAAGAGAAAAAAATATGTATTTTAACTAGGGCTTCTACTTACACCTTCATTTTCAAGTCTAATTCCAACTGTCTTTTCTATATCTGAAATTCTCCCCTTGGAACACCTGAGGGGAAAAATAGAGAGATTACAGACTGGATTATTTTAACCCGGTACATGTAAGACTAGTTTTAGAAATAAGACAGAATCATTTATAAACAAAAATTGCCTTGAACTATCATCCAAATCCTAAAGCACGTAGAATTGACCTTCACTGGTCACATGCCAGACATGTCCACCATATCACTCTCTCTTCTAAGTGGCATCTGCATCCTCCAACCCTAAGCCTAGGAAATAAATGCCCACTCCCAAATTAGGGTGGGCATCTGACACAAAAAGCTATGTATATACTCATATATGCTGACCAGCTAATCAGAGTTGAGGAGAATTCACAATTCCCCAGACATGGTTACTCATAAATATAGCTTATAAGTAAGAAAATAATGTCAAGCCCTAACCAGTTTGGCTCAGTGGCCTGCGAAATGAAGGGTCTCAGGTTCCGGTCAAGGGCATGTACCTTGGTTGTGGGCACATCCCCAGTAGGGGGTGTGCAGGAGGCAGCTGATGGATATTTCTCTTGCATCTATGTTTCTAACTTTCTTTCCCTCTCCCTTCCTGTCTGTGAAAAATCAATAACATATATTTTTAAAAAAATGTCAAAAGAAAACAGAATGAACTGAACCATGTACCTCTTTTCACTCCTCATTGGACATAGAGGTCCCCTTGTTTCAGCAGCTCTATCTGTGAAGATGGTAAAGAAAAAATAAAATGTCTTCTTTATTAATCAATATATAGCTAGAATTTCAATTTACATAGTCTCCAAAGTATTGACACTGATTTACATTGACCTTATAAATGTTAGAATAAATTCCAAAGACATTAGGCCTCCTTACAAATCAAATTGCTTAAAAATGCATAAACCGCTTTCTTATTTAAATATAATATTTAGTGTAAATTGATGTCTGCTCATTTGGAAAGCTATCATTTAGTGTCAAGGAAATTAATACACAAAAAATAAATTAATTTTAGGCTCACAAAATATATACTACTATATATAAAAACTAGGAATTATAATCAAGAGGTATTTTATAAATCTGTTTCACCTTGAAATAACCCTCTTACTAAATTACTAGCACTGGGTAAACTAGTCAACACCCTGGGACTAATAGTTTTAAGGTTACATCTTTTCATAAGTATGCCATTTATCAATTTTATATGCACATGGACTAAGTTCAGTATATTAATATTAAGATAGAGCTAAATCTGGAAACTCACATGGTTTTGGAACAAATTGAGTTGGTCTGATTCCATGACTTTGCTCTTCCCCCCAGCCTTTGGTCTTTAATGTATCCACGTGACATCTTTGAGAACTTAGAAACACAAAAAGCGAAGACGTTCAGATACAAAAGGAAAATCTATCATCAATACTCATTATCTCTGTCTGACAAGCTTCTCCAAACAGGAGTTATTGATTGCCCTTGAGTCATCAAATTACAAGAGAGAGCAAGCAACACAGCACCATCTGGGATAAAAGGACTCTAATCCTGATTCTAATATTTCAGTCAAGTTACTAACCTCCAGTTGTTTTCTATTTGTAAAATTGCATGTTCTCAATCCCCAGCATAACCCCCACTGAAAAATCTCATGTGATAAAACTCAGGTCAAAATATAGAAATTTTTACATAAAACACTGAAATGGATCCAAAAACAACACAGGAATATAAAAAGCAAAACAGATTGAGGATTTTGCTGATGTCACAAAGCCAATAGTTCACGAAGCATACTGCTGTTTTCAACAGTGGCTAGACAAAATGGAGAAAATATTAACATTCTGACTTACTACACTAAGAGAACTCAAATTTTAAAAATTCACAACCAATATTAATTCCCAGACAGATATTTCTTTGTTATTTCTGCACTCAACCAGTTAGTCTTGTGACAGTTTCACCTTCAAGTTGCTGTTACATAATTTCTGGGACAGCCCTCTGTGTATTCACAATTGTTAAAATTATCAAATGCCTCTCAATTCTGAGCTCACATATTTTTTTGTCCCCTTTTTATAAGGCCAGATATCAACTCCTCCTGTCATTCTTATCTTTTGCTCAAATCGTTACAGTATTAATGAAGAGTCTTATAAGAAAAACTTCTTATGACCTATGTGACTTTAATCTTGTATCTAAAGTGGAGGGTTTCCAATTGTGCTAAGATGCAGCCACTAAGATGCCTCAGGAACTTGTATATGAGGAGGTAGGGAGATAGGGAGGGCGGAAAGTAGGAAGGGAGGAAGGGAGGCAGGGAGGGAGGGACATGCAGGAATGAAGGAGGGGGAAAGAGGCAGACAGAAAGAGACAGAGATTGTGGAAAATGGGAGTTGAAAAGATCTATGCTTCATGATTTCAAACAGTGATTCCACTTTTCTATATCAGAGTGTTAAGTCAGTACACTTGAACAAGGATGCTAAAGCTAACAGAAAACTATCCTATATAAATAAAAGCCTAATATGCTAAGCGTCTGGTCATCCAGTCGGCCATTCAACCAACCAAAGTGTAATATGCTAATGAACGCTAAGGCCACTCAACCACCTGCTATGATGGCACTGACCACCAGGGGACAGATACTCCAACTAGTAGATTAACTTGCTGCTGGGGTCCAGCCTAACAAGACTGAATGAGACAGGCTGGACACTCCCTGGAGCCAACCTTCTGCATCCCTCCCTGGCCCAGATCATGCACTATGGGGTCCCTCAACCTGGCTTGCACCTCTTGCAATCCGGTCTGAGGGACCTTCTCCACCCCCAACCCTCCCCCAGCCCCGAGTGCACTGGGCCTCTAGTATTTATTCTATATAACCATTACTAGATGACAAATTACAGGGATAGTTCTCTCCATGTTATCTCTTTTCCCCCCCATAAATCCTTCCTACCAATTCCCTCTCCAAAAGGAGGAAAAAAGATGTCTGGCAAAGCATTGATCTTGTTAGCTCATCTTTACCTATGATGAGTTGAAGTGACAGGAGGAACAGAGCTTCCATGAACACCTTCTTTAAGTCGCTCCAATAACCTTCGGTACTTCTCTCTTTCCTCTTTTTGGACACCCTTAATAGAAGAAAGCATGTTAGATAACTTCTAGCACATTAAACATAAACGGTAAGTAAATCTTAACAGGTCATAGATGTGTTTTATTGATCAGTACAGTGCTCTTTAAGTTTATTTTTTTAATGAGGGGAGTGAGGGGGAGCGGAGGGAGGGGAGAAAGGGAAGAGGAGGAGGAGGAAGAAAGGCATAAATTTGTCCTCCACTTATTTATGCACTCATTCATTGGTTGGTTGATTCTTACATGAGCCTGATGGGATCAAACCTAAGACCTTGGCATTTCAGGAAGACGCTCCAATTGAGTGTCAAAATTTCTTTAATTACCAACTTTATAAATTGAAAATATCCAAAAATCTAGCCTCTTTTAAAAAACCAAATCAATAATCTGGAGCTATGTAGGGCTATTCCCTTTAGATGGTCCATTTACTCTAGCCCATTTCACTCATTTACATCCTCTCCTCGACCTGGGTGGCGGCTTCTGAGTTTTTGACAGTAGAACTAGGTTGACCAAAACCTCAGCAGAATAATCCACTTGCATATTCAGAACTTTCAGCTTCCAAATGGAACTGGTCTCACCATAGTCACCAATGACGCTGTATGACCAGATCCAACAGATACTTTTTTAGCCTTTATTATATTAACCTCTTTCTTTAGCATCTCATTCTGATAACCTTGCCTTGCCCTCCTGGACAATACACTCTCCTCATTTCTTCTTATCTTCTCAATCTCCATTGCAGATTATTTCTTCTTCTGCCTGTCCAAAATGCCAAAGGTCCTGCCCAGTATCTCTTCTCACACTACATTTTCTCCCTGAACAATGTCTCAGCTCCCTTAATTATAATAATATAACACCAATATTCAGAATATTCAGAAATGTCTTCAACCCTGCCTTCTTCTCAAAACTCTGAGCCAGGTCACTTTGCATGTTCCACAGGCACTTTAAACAATGTCTAAAACGGAATTAAATTCCCCCTAACTACCCAGGGTATCTTGGTCAGTGGCACGTATTTCTCAAGACTGAAATCTGGGACTCAGGCTCTTCCTGCTAACTTTGCATCACACTTAACCAATGAATATGTCCTTGCTAATACTACCTTCTAGTATTTCTAAAATACATCCTATGTATTCCCTATATGTGCTCAGTTTCATTTCTGACTTCTCACCTAACAGGTATTGAAAGGCTATTTTATAATACCTCTCCTTAAAACCCCCTCCAGGGCTGCAGGCCTTTTCCTCTCTCTGCCTACTTCTGTTTGTTCAGAACAACTATTTATGTATAAGGTCCCAGAGGCCAGGGTCCATGTTTTATTCCATTCTAATTGATGACATTGGGCACCCAAATAAGTATTTCTAAGATGAGCAAAACTAATTGGCTCAGAGAACCATGTAGCAATAGGTGATGGTCCTAGGGAATGCCAGATACAGAAATAATTCTAAATGCTCCAGGTATAAGTGAAGACTTCAAAGGGAAGTGAAGAGAATCCTGCTGATGAAGATATGCTAAGTGCCCTGAAAAGGGAAGGAAAGAGTAGACATGTACACCACTGAACTTCTCTTATTTAGTCACAGTTATTACATACAGCTTCTAAAGGAAACAAGATAAAACAATCCAGGCACCAAAAAAGAACCCATTCTCTTTTCCTAACATGACTCCTTTTTCTATCTTATAGTAAAAATAATCTGGAAATTAACTACATACATACAGAATATTTCTAGAAGTATCAAAGTCAAACAAGGTGGTAGGGCCAGGTACGGAAGTGAGACTGGGACATTTATAGTCACGGTACATCCTTTTATACTATACTTTTGAGAATTTTATACTATAGTACATATATTACTTATCCCCCACTCCCGAATTCATAAAACAGTTTTCAAAAGAGATCAGACTGGTAGTGCTTACCTCCTCCACAGTACAATGGGGACGCCTCAGACCCTTGCCACCCTCTTCAATCATCATCTCTGTTACCACCGGTTCCTGAGGTTTCCACATTAAAGAACTCTCTGGATTGCCTTTGCTATGGCGACGGCCACTTAGTCTTCTATTATAGCCTTCTGAGTTCAAAGTAAAACTGAGAGACAGAAAAAACAAAAAACAAAAAACAAACAAAAAAACATGTGTCATCAAACTGCTTAAATTGCTGGATTCTAAGCTTCAGATCATTCTGTGATTAGGCTTCCCAGATTAAGCTTGTTCCTGGCAAATCAGACAACTAGCATTCACAAAAGTTAGATCTATCTCTAGAGTAGAGGTAGCATTACACTATGGAACATGTATTTCCAGTCACCAGGGCTCCTACATGAAAGCTTCTGCCTTCTTCCTCAAGCCCAACTTTCCAACCCAACTCTGGAATCAGCTCCCCTACTTCACATACCTTCCCCTTGGGCTGCACTTTCCCTTTACTCACTTGGTGTCACTGGAATTAATTATCGTGTGATTCTTTAATGTCTATATCTCACACCAAACTTTAAATTTCATGAGACAGAGATTACATAGTTTCATCACTGGATCTTAGAAAAGGATCTAAGCCGAAAGGCACTCGATATTTGCTGGATGCTAAATTAATAAATGTAAGTGAATAACTGCTAAAGAAATGAAAGCCATGAAGCCCCTAGTCATTGTTGCTGGTGGAAGAGCCTGCCTCTCCTACATCACCAATAATGGGACAAACCGACATCACCCCTTCCTGATGTAATGCTTTAAAAAGGATACACCATATGTATGATACTTTTACCAAAAAAAAGGTTGCATAATCTAAAACAAATCATGAATAAGCATCCGACAAAATTAAAGGACATTCTACAAAAAAAAATGTTTTGTAGGGTGGGGTGAAAGTAGGTTTACTGTTGTGAGGATGCAAAACAGAGTTTATTATTATTTATTAATTACTGTACTATTTTCCAACCAAAATAATAGATGTCTCCCCTGTACTCTTTAAAAACATCCATGCTATTAAGGAAGTCTGAGGAGTTGTTACAGATTAAAAGAGATCAACAAGACTGAAAATTAAACGTAATGCATGATCCTACACTGAATTGTGGACCAGAAAAAAAAATACTCTATTATGGATAAATTTAAATAAGACTAATAGTATTATATTAAATTTTCTAATTTTTTAAATCTATGATTACATAAGTAATTGTCCTCATTCTTAAGAAATAAAGCACTGAAGTACCTATGATTAAAAGGTCATGAGTCTAAGACTCTCAAATGGTTGAGAAAAAAATATTATGTACATATGACAGAAAATGATAAATTGGCAAAATGATGAAACTGGTGACTCTGGGTCTTCCTCTCTATAAAAAAAGACAAAATACACAAAAACAGCCCTATCTGGATTAAGAAATAAGCCTACAATCACAGCAGGAAACATCAATAATCCTTGTTCATCAATCAATAAAAAAGTTAGAAACCAGTAAGACCTGTAAACATCAACAACGTGAGCTGACATTTATAGAACACTCCACTCAACATTCTTTTCAGGTGCACAATGGACATCATCCATATAGACTATATTTTAGGCCACAAAACAAATGCTAAAATTTAAAAGAACTGAAATCACACTAAGTATATTATCTGATCACAATATAATTAAACTAAATAACTAAAAGATGTCTGGAAAGTCCCAAATATTTGGATATTAAACAACAGAATTCTACACTTCAGAATAATCACGGGTTAAAGAGAAAGTACAACAGAAATTAGAAAATATTTTTAAATTGAATAAAAATTAAAACCAATTTTTCAAAATGAATGGGATGCAGTTGAAGCAATGCTTATAGAGATAATTATAGCGTTAAGAGCTTAGAAAATAAGTTCACCTCTAAGTATTCAAGTAAGTATCTCCCAAGAACAAGGACATCTTTTATATAACCATAATAGTCATCAAAACCCAGGAACTTTAGCAATGACACAATATGTAATATGTAGCCACATTTAAATTTCTCCAAACACATTAAAAGTATCCTCCACGACAATATTTTTACTATCTTGAATCCAATGAAGAAGCTCACATTGCATTTAGTTGTCATGTATCTTTAGTCTCCTTTAAACTGAAAGTTCTTTAGCTTTTCTTCATCTGAAAAATACAGGCCTTAACCAGGTTTCTTATTCTTAGACTCTGATTGATTTTTGCAGAAATATGAATTAACTCATGTCTTCAGCGCAATCTATCTGGAGACCACAATGTCTCTTTGTCTCACTGTGGATTGCTTTAACTTTGTTCCTTTCCTTAAGGTGGAGTTATCAAGCAGTTTTCTTTATCCTAAAGTTATTATTTTTCCTTTATAATTAATAAGTAATTTGTGGGGAGGTATTTTGAGTATATACAAGTATCCCATTCCTCATCAAACTTTTACTTACTAGGTTCAGCTCAATTGATTCCTATAATATCAATTACTATAATAGTTACAAAATGGCCGTTTTCTAATTCAATCATTCCCTGTACACTTACTAGTTGGCATCCTACTATAAAGATCTTTCCCTCTCACAGTATATATTTATTTATAGCACCTATAGCCTGTCTTTACTCATTTTGATGTTTAAATTGTTCCCAATTTGGCCACTGAAAGCCCCTTCAAGTTTCCTCCTGTGTCATGTTGACATGTCCCCAGTTTCTGAACATTACTTTATTTCTGGCACAAGACATGACAAATTCATTTTGTATTTTCCTTCCTAGCTCTACGATCAACCAACTATTCATCCAACTCCAGAAAACCCAGTTTTTAGTTAGTGTCTCATTCTTAAATATGAGTGTATAGCCAAGGATTACCATCATTTGAATAGACTCTAATATGAAACCTAAGATCAAAAAACAGCCCTAACCAGTTTGACTCAGTGGATAGAGTGTCAGCCTGCAGAACAAGGGTCCCAGGTTCAATTCCGGTCAAGGGCGAATACCTCGGTTGCGGGGCACGTACCCAGTAGGGAGCAAGCAGGAGGCAGCTGATCAATGTTTCTCTCTCATCGATGTTTCTAACTCTCTAACCCTCTCCTTCCTCTCTGTAAAAAATCAATAAAATATATATATATATATATATATATATATATATATATATATATATATATATATATTTTTTTTTTTTTTTTTTAAAGATAAAAAGCAAACCAAAGGGGGCAAGGAATTTAGGGGAAGCAGAAAAGCAGGGAGAAGAAATTTTAAAATAATTAACAGCTTTAGAGAAAAAAGATATTGCATCCTTACAATAAGAACAAGAGGCTTGGAGAAAGAAAAACCATGGGAAGTAGGGAAAGGGAGGATGGTTATAACTTAAAAACTATCAAGCCCCTCCTCTAAGAAATCAGTAAAAGATTTCTTTTTAAAGGGCAAGGATAACTGAAGAGAATTTATAGGAAAATTAGGACAATGCAAAAAGTTAAATATATTTTTTTAAAGGTTTAATATCCAAGTAGTAGAAATTCTAGAAAATAGGAACACAAAAAAGAGAATTACCGTAATGAAAAAAAAACAAAAAACAGTTCAGTGTATGAAAATTCATCAGGCTAGACACTTATTTCCATACTTTTCTGCATGCATATTAAACTTTTTAAAAAGTTTATAATTGAATGGCAATTCTTTTTCAAAAGGTTTTCAAAATCAGATGCTATGGGCATATAATATGGCAGAAAAAGTAACATACACCTGAGTTCAAGTTTTTCACTAGCTGCATGATATTCGGCAAGCTTGAGTACTTATTTAACAAGATTACATAATAGGAAAAAGTGTGAATGTCTAGCAAGAGTGAGCACCTAATATGTGCTAAGTTTCCATGTAAAAAAGGCAGAATTTAACACTTACCCAAAGGAAGGTAGGACTCTGCGAGGGTGATCTCGAGTTACTGTCACTCTGATCTTTGGATAATCACTTATTCCATTAGGAGATTTATTACCTATTTAAAAAATGCATTTGTAATTGTAAATAAGTAAATAAATTAATAAATAAATAAATTAAAAAACATTTGTGAATACTGCATTAGAAAAGAAACTGTGTGATCAGTCTACACTGCAGAACCATATATGTTATTTTTTTCAAATTCTATTACTATACAGCACAGAGATCAGAATTAACTTTGTAAGGTTAAAGGAAAAACAATAGTGCTTAGTTTGTCTTTGGTTTCAGATAAGCAATAACAATTCATAGGGAAGCTTTCCTAGTTTTGCTTGCTGGGACCAAAAAGGCATGAAGAACTTAATGATTATAAAATTCCCTTACAACCTAATCAAATTAAGAGAATTTTTCAAGTTTTCTTTTTCCTCTCAAGAAAACAGAAGTATTTTTAAGTGAAAACCTGCCATATGTTACTACATTTCACTGGAAGCTTGAGGTGGTTATTATACTTCAAAATATGGTAACCAAATTTTTACTAGCCACATTTTCTTTGGAGCTATTTCTTAGGCTTGGAGTGCCTAAGAACTACAAAATGCAATTGTAACAGCAAAACCTAAACTGACCAAATTCATTTGTTTGCAAAATCTGACTTGAACCAATGTTCAAACCCAAAGGGTTTTTAGAATAATATTCAATAAACACAATCTAAAATAGGATAAATTCAGAATCCCTAAACACATTTCTAAGGGCTTCAGATTAGAGGCTGTGGACTTTCTACATTAGAAACCTGCCCAGGAATACCTGTGCTTCTCTCACTAGACTACACAAACCCACACAACTACACTGCTGACGCCTCGGGCAGGATATATCTACTAGCTCTTCGATGTCAATTTTAATGGTTGATAATTTTAAGCATTTATATAGTCAAACAATATAAATAAGATTATGAAATCTAATTTGTATTAGCTTTTTAAATAAAATGAAAGGCTTCAAAGAAGTATCATCTTTGTCCCTAGATCCCTTGGCACTAGATTCTCAGACTTGGGGGTACACATTTACTCTCCTTTCATCTGCCACTAGAGTACTTTACATAAAAAGTTTGTTTGAAGAAGCATTACTGTAAGGTTTTTATCATTTCCTTAGCTTCTTCCAATTTTGACTTCTAAATCCACAACTTCTCTAAAAGCTCTTTTCCCCTTCCTCTCAAACTTTACATACCTACCTGCTTGGCAGAGATCATACCATTTTCAGGACCCTGGTTTCTCCCTATTCCCTTTTCCCACTACCCCCTCTCCCCCAGCACTGTGCACAGTATATAAAAAAAAATTTAACAATTCAATTTTGGGGTCTGGATGATATAGAGGTTCCCAATCCATAAAGCTGAGAACTGGAGACCTAAGGTTGCTCCCCAATCAGATTCATACATAAAAAAGTCCTTCTAAGGCAGTTTTCCTATTTTTGTTATTATTGCTATTTGTTTTGTTATTAAAGGTTTTATTATTTTGTTAGTATTTTAATAACTTAACATAGTGCCTAGCACAGAGTAAGTACTCAGGAAATGTTTGTGTGTTGTTGTTTTTAAGGAATGAAACTTGATCTAAGTCACATTATGGACACTGATATTCCAAATAGAAAACACAACAGTAAATTTAAAGACAATTGTAAAGGAAAGCATTTGCCTTTTAGAACGGCAGAGAGAATGTCTGTGTTTTTATATCAAAGCAGTGTTCTTTTATATTCTCAAAACTCAGAAAAAGAAGTAGGAGGAGGAAGGGGAAAACAGAACTATTTTTATCCACCTCACCCAGTTTCAGCATGTTGTTCCAGGATCCGGAACCTGTCAGTTCACAAGATGAAGAGTTCGAAAATACCTTAAAATCAAATAAAATAACCTCTGTAGTATATAATTTTAGAATTTAAGTAAATTTCTAATATGAAAAAATAAAAATCACTCTATTGGTGCTAGCTCACAGAAGAGATATTATCAATAAAATCTGACATTTAATTTGTGAAGACTCACAAAATGAAGTAAAAATTTAACAATTCCAAGGTCTCCAAACATACTTATTATTCAGTAATTAAGCTCTTTATAATTATTTTTTAAATATGTAATTTCTTTAAAAAATGTAATTTCTTAAACTTTTAAATTTTGGGCCTATATATCAAGGCTAATAAACACATGCATATTTCTGCATAGAAATCATTCTACACATTAATGCCCAAAATGAGAATATTTCCAAAATATACTTTCAATGATTAAGTACCAAAATCAGTAGTCCCAAAGGAGTCCTATCCCCACTGACCTCTCCTGAAGCGGCCGCATTCCGTGTTCCGTTACAAGCAGAAGCTACAGAAGCTACCATGGGCTTTGTGGTCAGCTGGAATGGGAATCCAAATAAGCTGGCAGCATTGTAGAGACTGTTTTTCACTTGGTGAATAAAGCAATCTAGAAAGTGTAACAGAGATTGCATATACATATAAACTTAGAGTAATAAATTTCTGGGGAAAAAATAAAAAAAAAAATAAAAAAGGTTACAGCCCAGCTCACAGGTTAAGTGTCGACCCAGGAACCAGGCAGTCACAGTTCAATTCCTGGTCAGGGCACATGCCCAGGCTATGGGCTGGTCTCCATTAGGGGACATGCAGAAGGCATATCATTGATTCTCTCTTATCACTGATGTTCTATCTCTCTCCCCTTCTCCCTGCTGCTTCTCTGAAATCAATAAAAACATCTTATACAACAAAAGGCTAATATGCAAATCGACCAAAAGGCAGAACGAACAGTTGCTATAATGCGGACTTACCACCAGGGGAAAGATGCTCAACACTGGAGTTGCCCCTGGTGGTTACTGTGCTCTCACAGGGGAAGCACCACTCGGCCAGAAGCGGAGCTCACAGCTGGTGAGTGCAGCGGCAGTGGGGGAAGACTCCTGCCTTCGCAGCAGCACTAAGAATGTCCAACTGCTGGCTAAGCCATGAGTCGGACATTCCCCGAAGGCTCCCAGACTGCGAGAGGGCGCAGGCCAGGCTAAGGGACCCTCTGCCTCCAAGTGCAAAAATTTCATATTTAATAAATAATAGTATGATTGTATCTAAGAAAGGCCTCTCAATTTTTATTAGAAGTCCTATTTTCAATCACTGATATAAAAAGTCACTTGTAAAAAAAAAATTTCTCCTACTTGAATACCTGAAATTCCAGCACTGTGATTTCTGTATTTTTAGTAAGGTATCTGGGATGCTACAAAAATATGAAACTATCACACAGATTCACACACAAAAGTCCTGAAAGGACAGCATTCAAGCCATAATTTCTCCCATGTAAAACAAAAAGAGCCATAGCTGGTTTGGCTCAGTAGATTGAGCATCGATCTGCAGACTACAGGGTCCTCAATTTGATTCTGTTGCAGGACACATGCCTGGGTTGCAGACTCGATTCCCAGTGGGGGGAGTGCAGGAGGCAGCCAGCCCATCAATGATTCTCTCCCATCTTTGGTGTTTCTCTCTCTCTCTCCTTTCCTCTCTGAAATCAATATCCTATTTAATCAAAGAGTAATATGCAAATTGACCACTCCAAGACACAAGATGTCCGCCCCATGTGGTCAAAGATGGCTGCCCCCATGTGGACACAAGATGGCTGCCTCAAGATGGCCTACAGGGGAAGGCAGTTGTGGCCAGTTAGGAGTGACCAGGCCAGCAGAGGAGGGCAGTTGGGGCGGAGGGGGGGGGGGGGAGCCAGGTCTGCAGGGGAGGGCAGTTAGGGGTGCCAGGCCAGCAGGGGAAAGCAGTTAGGGCCATCAGGCTGGCCAGAGAGCAGTTAGGTGTTGATCAAGCTGGAAGGGGAACAGTTAGGGAGTGATCAGGCTGGCAGGTGAGCAGTTAGGGGCAATCTAACAAAGGCAGGCAAGGGGTTGTGAGTCAGTAGTCCTGGATTGTGTCCAACCACCCGTTTCGGCCCGATCCCACTGAGATCGGGCCTAAATGGAGGGTTAGACATCCCTCAAAGGGTCCCAGATTGGAGAGGGTGCAGGCTGGGCTGAGGGACAACCTCCTCCTCTTCCCCCCTCACCTCCTTCCACCCCGTGCACTGGCCTCTAGTATATAAATAAAAGAAATCTATATCCTAGGGTCAGGGTCATAACAACCTAGAGTTTACAGTCACTAGGCATGGCAGAATCCTATAGGAAACACTTCATTTACTCATATGTTTGGTCTTACTTCCAAGGCAGGTAATGTTATAGTTATCCTAAACAGCTACCTACTAAACGCCAAGGTAGAAATTACTGGAATATTAGATATGAAATTCTTAAACATCTATGATAAAACAAGGCTATCCCTCTACTGGAAAAAATGTGTCAGGCTCACCCCTCCCTGCCATCAAATACAAAGATTACAAAATAAGCAAGTAAACAAACAAGCAGGAGGGGTAAATTTGTTAAAAAAAAAAAAAAAAACTTCCTCTTTTTATCACTACCCCTTTCTTACTTCCTATACTGATGACTTATTTTCTACAATTTCCTAAGTAAGGGTATTCTAAAGCACTGTATGAAAGAAAGAGATCATCACCTTAGCCATATTCTGCTTTAGAGAAAAACAGCTTGAAATTGTGCTTTTAAGCAACAAGCACTCAAGAACAGATAAGATATATAATACTTTCCTAAAAGATAGTGAAATAACTTAAACAGCAGGGAGGATGTGATAGCTGGGTAAAGCAGAATCCAATCTGAAACTATAGAATAGTTCAAAGAACTAGTTTGAAAATGATTTGTTTCACAGTTAAAAGAAACAAAATTTGAAAATATCCCGTCTCTCATTTTAGGAATTAAAATTCCAGGTTACCCTTCTAATAATGTGAACTTTATGTGGGAGAAAAACAGCTTTAGGGATTGGTGATTAACCTACAGTTAATCAGAGGACAAGAGGTACTCTTATCCAGCCGTATTGCTCAGTGGTTGAGCAGTGACCTATGAACCAAGAGGTTACCAGTTCGATTCCCAGTCAGGGTATATACCCAGGTTGCAGGCTCAATCCCCCAGTAGGGATGTTTCTATTTCTCTCTCCCTCTCCCTTCCTCTCTCTAAAAAATCAATTAAAACATATTTTTAAAAGAGGTACCCTTAACAACTTAGTTAAATAATGGACACTAAAAAGTAAAATAATATTTTCCAACAAATTTTGTCAAAATCGGAGTATGCCTAAGATTATGACAAAAGTTCACATAGAGTTCGAACAAAAAAAGGCCTACCTCATCTATAAAATGAGGTAAGACCACTTTATTTCCCTGAGATTAACCTAGGATCTCTTAAGATCCTTTTCTTCTATAAGTTATGAGTCTATAGTCTAAGGTCCTCCTTTTCTTTAAGCCTTCCTTTTTTTTCTCTGAAAAGGAACCAATAGAGCTGTACTGCCATATATATAGTAAGTAGCCCCTACTACATGTAAGTTACACAAATTTCAATTTAATTAAAATTATAATTTCAGAGGAGGAACAAGATGGTGACATAGGTAAACACCTAAACTGTTGCCTGGCACAACAATTTCAAAACTACAACTAAAAGACAAAACGGACATCATCCAGAACCACAGGAAGGCTGGCTGAGTGGGAATTTATAATTAGAAGGAAAGAGAAAAGCACACTGACACTCAGAAGAGCTGCAGAAGGCAGAGGTACCGAAGCACACGCACAGAGAGGGCGGGCAACTGGGTATGTGGCTGGCTTTCTCAAGAGGGAGGGAGACGAAAGCTCCCAACTGCTCTGAATTCCAGTTCTGGGCAAGACTCTGGGGATCCAGACTCATTCAGGGAGAAACTGGATTATCTGGCAGCAGGTGAAACTTAAGGGCAGCTTTCTCTTGAGATGCTTGCAGTGATTACCATGGGACACTGAGATCCAGGGTCCTCTTAGGGCAGGGCTGACAGGAAGCCAATGCTATCTTTTTTGCCCTGAGATTCTGCCCCATCCAAGCTGAGCACAGAGGCTTTTGCAGGTCTTGTCTCATGAGGGTGTCTCCAACACAGAAGTTCTCCTGGCATAGACACAGCATAGACACAGCTGATCCTCACAGTCAATTGGCCTGGAGGTCAATTACACAAGTGATGCCAACAACGATCAAGGCTTAACTACAACAAGACTGTGCACACAGCCCACATAGGGGTGCACCAAAAGTGTCCACCTCAGGTAACTGGGCCCTATAGGACACCTAGCACACAAAGCCACCCTATAACTCAGGGAAGCAGCCAAAATACAAAGACAAAGAAACAGGTTACAAATGAAAGAAATGGAGGAAAGCAAACAACTGGATATAAAGTTCAAAACCATAGTTTCAAGATTTTCAAGAATTTTCTAATAAAGGCTGATAAATTTAGTGAGACCCTCAAGGATATGAAAAAGGACCAACTAGAAATTAAACATACACTGACTGAAATAAAAAATATTATACAGAAATCCAACAGCAGACTAGAGGATCCCAAGAATCAAGTCAAAGATCTGAAATACAGCCGAGACCGGTTTGGCTCAATGGATAAAGCGTCGGCTTGAGGACTGAAAGGTCCCGGGTTCGATTCCGGTTAAAAGCATGTACTTTGGTTGCGGGCATATCCCCAGTAGGGGCTGTGCAAGAGGCAGCTGATCGATGACTCTCTTTCATCGATGTTTCTAACTCTCTATCTCTCTCCCTTTCTCTCTGTACAAAATCAATAAAATATATTTAAAAAAAAAAAAGATTTGAAATACAAAGAAGCAAAAAACAACCAACCAGAAAAGCAAAAAGATGAAGATAGTGTAAGGAGCCTCTGGGACAACTTCAAGCGTACCAACATCCAAATTATGGGGGTGCCAGAAGAATAGAGAGAGCAAAATACTGAAAACCTATTTGAAGAAATAATGACAGAAAACTTCCCCCACCTGGTGAAAGAAATAGGCCTACAAGTCCAGGTAGTGCACAGAACCTCAAATAAAGGAATTCAAAGAGGACCACACCAAGACACATCATAATTAAAATGCCAAAGGCAAAAGACAAAGAGAATATTAAAAGCAGCAAGAGAAAAACAGTATGGGAGCACCCATACTATTGTCAACTGATTTCTCAACAGAAACTATGCAGATCAGATGGAGTAGCAAGAAATGTTCAAAGTGATGAATAGCAAGAACCTACAACCAAAATTACTCTACCAGCAAAGCTATCATTCAGAATTGAAGGGCAAATAAAGAGCTTCACAGATAAGAAAAAGCTAAAGAAGTTCATCACCACCAAACCAGTATTATATGAAATGTTGCAAGGTATTCTGTAAGAAGAGGAAGAAGAAGAAAAAGGTAAAGATAAAAATTATGAACAACAAATACGTACCTATCAACAAGTGAATCTAAACATCTAGTGAATAAAAAATTCGATGAACAGTATAAACTGGTGAATATAATAGAATCAGGGGCATAGAAAGGAAGTGGTCTGACAATACTCAGGGGGAAAGGGGTGTGCGGGATGCAGGAAGAGACTGGACAAAAATCGTACACCTATGGATGAGGACAGTGAGGGTGGGGGGGGGGTAAGAGAAGAGGGTGGGGTGGCAACTGGGGGAAAAAAGAGGAACAATTGCAATAATCTGAACAATAAAGATTTATTAAATTTAAAAAAAATTAAATTATAAATTTAGGTGCACTAACCTCATTTCAAGGGCTCAACAGCCATTGTGGCAGATAAGTTCTACTAACATTACTATAAACCTTTACCAACTCTGCCAGTATTACCTCTGCTACTCACTGCTTCCTCCTTACCTTAGGTTTCCTTCTATAGTTTCCATTCAGAAAATCATAACACACATTTCATGGAAATCATGGAGGAAGAGATCCTTAACATAGAAGTCCATAAAATGGATGACTGCCAGAATTATCTCTGGAAATGTCTATAATTTCACTGTGTATGTTATTGTTTACCACAAAGCTACTTATATTTTTCTTTAAGATGGACTCTTTTGGTAAACAAATGTGTTTGAAAGGTAATTTTTAAAAATATTTTTACTTATTGATTTTAGAGAGAAAGAGAGGGAGAGAGGAAAAAACATCAATTTTGTTATCCGACATATTATACATTCATTGGTTGCTTCTTGTATGTGCCCTGACTAGGAATTGAATTTACAAGCTTGGTGTATGCGGACGATCCTCTAATCTAACCAAATAAGCTATCTGGCCAGGACCGGGCAGGGGTGTAGTCTCAGATCCCCTGGCCCAGCACCAGGACAGAGGCTGTGCTTGAGGTCCCCCAGACCAGACCGGAGCAGAGGGCGTGCTTTGAGGTCCTCCATCAAGCCCCGCCATGTGTGGGACACAGCCTGAGATCCCCTGTCAAGCCCCGCTGGATGGGGGGCGTGGCCTGAGGTCTGTCAAGCCCTGCCAGGCAAGGGGGTGCAGCCTGAGTTCCCCTGACCCAGCATTGGGGGTACACCTTGAAGTCCCCTGTCAAGCCCTGCTGGGTGGGGAGCACGGTGTAAGGTTCCCTGTCAAGCCCAGCCAGGCAGGGGGGTGCAACCTCAGGTTCCCTGGCCTGTGCTGGGGTGGGGGAGGCACAGTTTAAGGTCCAGTCAAGCCCACCGGCAGGGGGTGCTGCCTGGTGCCATGGTGGGAGCGTAACCTGAAGTCCCCTGTCAAGCCCCACCTGGTGGGGGGCACAGCCTGAGGTCCCCCTGCCTGGCACTGAAGCAGGGGGATTGAGGGGCGCAAGCAGCCCGAGGTCCCCTAGCCTAGCACCAGGACAGGAAGCATACCTTGAGGTTCCCCGTCAAACCCCGCTGGGGGGAGGGGAGGGCATGGCCTCAGGTCCCGTGACCTGGCACTGGGGTGGGGTGGGCCGCCTGAGGTCCCCCAGCCTGACACCAGGGCACGGGGTGTGGCCTGAGGTTCCCTGCCAAGCCCCACAGGGCAAGGAAGGGCATAGCCTCAGGTCCCTGCTGATTGCTTGTTAAGGCTCCTTATGGGAACCTGGCCTCAGCTATGGGTGCAGCCATCTTTGTGATGGAGTGATGGTCAATTAGCATATCCCTCTTTATTAGATAGGGTATATTTTATTGATTTTTTTTTTTTTTTTTTATAGAGGAAGGGAGAGAGAGAGTTAGAAACACTGAACGATCAGCTGCCTCCTGCACAACCCCTATTAGGGATATGCCTACAACCAAGGTATATGCCCTTGACCGAATTTGAACATGGGACCCTTCAGTCTGCAGGCTAATACTCTATCCACTGAGCCGAGCCAAATCGGTTAGGGCTGTTTCTTCTCTTAACCATCACATCTGGTGGTAGATCCACATTCACATGCATTTTTTAGTAATAAGAAAATATTATAGTAATCCATTGTGCCTTTTCGTTTTACTTTAACTTTATTCTCTTCTATGAAATGATGTCTAGCCCTTCAGATTGTAGGTAAGTAAACAATTTGAGGAAACACATCAGAGTGATTCACTATCTGAACCAGATGGTTTAGTTTGAATTAGTTTTTATTTCTTCCACAAATTTAAAAAGCAACTTTTCTTTTTTTTAATCCTTACTGGGTAATATTTTTCCATTGATTTTTCAGAGAGAGTGGAAGGGAGGGGAAGAGACAGAGCGCAAAACATCGATTGGTTGCCTCCTTTATATGCCCTGACCAGGGCAAGAGAAGGAGCCTGCAACCAAGGTACATGCTCTTGACCGGAATCAAATTTAGGAGCCTTCAGTCTGCAGGCCTGAGCCAAACTGGCTAGGGCAGTGGTCAGCAAACTCATTAGTTAACAGAGCAAAATATCAACAGTACAACTTCTTCTAATGACACTTCTTCAAAAATAGACTCGCCTAGGCCATGGTATTTTGTGGAAGAGCCACACTCAAGGGGCCAAAGAGCTGCATGTGGCTCGTAAGCCGCTGTTTGCCGGCCACAGGGCTAAGGCAAAGCAATTTTTCCTTATATAAAGATTTAGAATTTTAAAATGTATATTTTAAAAAAGCTTTAAAAATGTATATTCAATGTATAGGCTTATCTATCTAGAAACACACTTAATTCCTCAGTTACTTCCAGAAAAGATAACTGAGTAGAAAAGGAATGGGAAAGAGGCTTACTTTTCACTGCATATACTTTTTAGCTTTTAAATTCTGTTATATACAGTTTTTCTATTAAGATACTAATTTTTAAAATTAATAATCAATACCTAATCTTGGTCTTTTGGCTGGTATTTCATCAGTGTCCACTGTAGAAAACAGAGTGCTGAAACAAAAGAAAAGAAATACATATATATACATATATATACACATATGTTCTTATATATACACACATAACCATTTCTATAAGTAAACAGCGTTTATATAACATACCTCCCTCTATCCACTTTGTCATAAAATGCGACCAAACTGATGTTTTAAAAGAGAATGCTAATTGCCCTGGTAGCTGTGGCTCAGTTGGTTGAATACTGTCCCATGCACCAAGAGGTTGTCAGTTCAATTCCTGGTCAGGGCACATTGCCTGGGTTTCGGGCTCAAACCCCAGTAGGGGTTGTGCAGGAGGCAGCCAACTGATGTTTCACTCTCTCTCCCTGTCCCTTCCTCTCTAACACCAATTAAGAAACAAAAAATAAAAAAAGTACAATAGCTGAAACTGGTTTGGCTCAGTGGATAGAGCGTTGGCCTGGGGACTGAAAGGTCCCAGGTCTGATTCCAGTCAAGGGCATGTACCTTGGTTGTGGGCATGTCCCTGGTAGGGGGTGTGCAGAAGGCAGCTGGTCAATGTTTCTCTCTCATCAATGTTTCTGGCTCCCTATCCCTCTCCCTTCTTCTCTGTAAAAAATCAATAAAATATATATTTTTTAAAAGTACAATAAAGAGAATGTTTCTCCATAAGTAGGACTTAACACTATGGTTTCAACTATTTGAAAGAGACTATTATGTAGTGTCTGTAATCTGGCTAAAGTCCAAACTTGAAACTGGTCAGAAATCACTTAGCTAGTAAATGAACATAGGTTAAGGGCTTAGGACTAGTTATCTCCTTCTTCTCTCCAGAAATGACTTAAAAAACCAGCATCCCCCCTTCCCAGTTATTTTCTATCTCAGGTAGAAGTAGACAATATAAGAAGCCTTGAAAAACAGTTCTTAGCCAGAAAAGCTGTAATATTTAACTGCATTTTTTTTTTTCATGGACACTATATTACAGTGATAATAAAATATCTGAAAATTCAGAAAAGTTATTGGACCTTTACCGCAACAATATTAAAGCTTCACGATACACTACTAATCATCTAAAGATGATTGTGACTGACCATATTTACAAAAAAATGAGCAAACTAAATCCTAGGATAATACAATTTAGTTCATTACTTTAAGCATCCCAAGATCTCCTGGCCTCATTCTGACTGAAAAAATGGCTTACATTGAGAAGAGTTGTTTTAGATTAAGGATGGGCAGTAAAGAATAGTATTTCCATCTCCAACCACTGTTCCCCTGACTAGCAGGAATTGGTAGCAAAAAGAGAGAGAGGACAGGGGAGAGCAAATTAATATTCCCTTATTTAATAAATATATACCAACTGCCTATCATGCCCCACAACCTCTGCAACAAGGCCCTCTGGGTAGAATAAACAAATGCTACTTATAAAAATATATACTACTCATATTTAAAAGTATAATGCTAGGCATTTTACAAAATGCTCTCAAATGAGCCTTATATCAACCCTACAGAAGGGTTGAAAGGAATAAGTTGAAACCATACCCTCTGAACACATAATGGAATTTAGCTAACAGTCTATTTCATCAATGACCTGCATTCTCAGATTCCTGTATTAATCCTCTTGTTCTCTCACACTCCAAGAAACCACCTTTCAATGATCTTGAGGCTTAATAATTTTTTAAAAAATGATCGCGACGTTTGATCACTGGGGGGTGGGGGGAAGTAAAGAACTGTTACGGTATTTTATTTTCTAGATTAAGTCTTAGGCATGCACTATTAAGGTATAAACCAAGGGGTAAAATGCTAAGTTAAAACAGCTCTTAGTTTCCCCAAAATTTTAACTTATGAGTACAGACGAGCGATCTTTTTGAAGAAATGTAGTACCTACCCACCCCTCCCCTCATATCCTAATGCTGATGCTAAAAATCTCTCTCCCTCTCTCCCCAGACACACACACACACACACACACACACACACACACACACACACACAGTTTGTTTCAGAACAAGACAGCTGCTGTTTCGGTGCTGAGAGAACAGTATTTGCAGTCAACACGGCTTTGGGCAAGCTATCAAGCTCACTTCCCTTCACTGCACTTACTGCCCGCAGATGGCACCTGGGAGTGCGCTTTGTAAACAGCGAGCCAAAATAAATAAATAAATAAATAAAAGTGAAATTGTTAGTTTTCCACCTAAGAGCAGCCAAGTATGATAAAACCCCATTTGTGGACAGGCAGCGTGGGCTCGGACAAACACGTTAACTATCCTAGCCATCACCTGCCACTCCAGACAGCCAGCATCTCCCATCACCCGGAGCCGCAGCGGCCCAGGGCGGAGGAGGCAACTACGTCACCCGCCACCCGCGACCCGCACCTCGGCCGCCGCGGCCCAGCTCCGCGCTCGGGGCCTCCCGGCGCGATCGGCGCTCGCGGCCGGGCCGGGCCCGGGGTGGGGGAGGGGACGCCCAGGCCGGCCCTCGAGGACCCCTCTCCGCTCACCTGTTCGAGCGCCGTCTCTTGAGCAGGGCCCGGGCAGCAGGGGGCACCGACCGGTCGCAGAGGCGGAAAATGGTGCCGAGAATCCTAACCAGCCATTTGTACATACCAAGCCGAAGCAGCAGCGGCGGCCGACACACCCCGAGACGCAAACCCCAGAGCTGTCGCCGCCGCTGCCGCCTTCGCCTCCGCCGCCTCGGCCACCACAGCCAAGGCGCAGTCGCCGACTGGTGACGCGATCGGCAGGCCCACACATACAACGTCCCCAGGGCTCCCGGAGGATCCTGCCGGCCTCCGCTCCCAACGTCACCTCCTCCCTCCCGACCGGAAGGCATCTTCGTCCTCGCTCCGCGCACGCGCGCCCTAGGGCTGGCCCCGGCCCAATCAGGGGGGAGATCGACATGGAGGGGGTGGGGCTTGTCCCTTCGGCGGAGCCAATCGCGAGGCGGCCAGCGGGACAAGGCCCACACACTGCACGTGAGGTTCCTCCGCCGGGAAGAGAGCGCTCCGAGAGCCCGAAGCGCACGACGAGCTCCGTCAACATTGGGGTGCGCACGATAAAGGTAGGTCCGATGGATTAACAAATGTTTACCGCGGTAGGAGCCCTTCCTTGTGCTTATGCCTTGTACTTGCCAGGCACTGTCGCCTTTTCTCCCAGCAGCCACAGGCAATGGAGAATCTTGTGCGCCCCGCACCTTTTTTTTTTTTTTTTTTTTTTTAATAAGGAATCCGAGGCACAGGCCGATTAAGTAAATGTGCCTAAGGTTATAAAACAAGCTGGAATTTGAACCGGGGTCTGAGAACCAGCGCCAAACCTCCCCTTCTCCCGCCAAAGAGGTCTCCTGGGAGAGAGGAGATTATAAATTACAAAACAGTTGTCTTTGTTCATCCTTTATTCAAAAAATAATATTCTGAAATTCTGCTGCAAGCCACTCCCTAAAGCTTGAGACCCACTAGCTACCCACCTACTCCGGCTTGGGGGGAGGGGCAGTTTCTGTACACAGCTACCACTAAAAGTTTGAGAATACAGTAATAGGAGAATTACAAAGCCTAGAAGATTTAGAGGTGGCTATTGCAAGTACAGCATCTATAGCCCATGGCCTCCCCAGATGACTTCCTTCCCCAGGGTCATCTCTCCACTCTTCTCAACATCTTTTTTTTTTTTTTAATATATTTTATTGATTTTTTACAGAGAGGAAGGGAGAGGGATAGAGAGCTAGAAACATCGAAGAGAGAGAAACATTGACCAACCACCTCCTGCACACTCCCACCAGGAATGTGCCCGCAACCAATGTACATGCCCCTGACTGGAATCGAACCTGGGACCCTTCAGTCCGCAGGCCAGTGCTCTATCCACTGAGCCAAACCAGTTTCAGCTTCTCACCATCTTTTACCAGCCACCAACAGAAAAGAGTTTCCCTCCCACGTGCACACCAACCCATTTTATAATTTAAGATTAATGCTGGCCCTCACGGGTTTGGCTCAGTGGGTAGAGCATCGGCTTGGGGACTGAAAGGTCCCGGGTTCGATTCCGGTCAAGGGCATGTACCTTGATTGCAGGCACATCCCCAGTAGGGGGTGTGCAGGAGGCAGCTCTTCGATGTTTCTCTTTCATCGATGTTTCTAACTACCGTGTTTCCCCGAAAATAAGACATCCCTGAAAATAAGACCTAGAGCAACTTTGGGAGAAAAAAATTAATATAAGACACTGTCTTATTTTCGGGGAAACAGGGTAGCTATCCCTCTCCCTTCTCTGTAAAAAATCAATAACATATATTTAAAAATAAAGATTAATGCTGGCTTTTTTTAGGCAGAGCAGTTTAACGATGTCCCAACTGCCCATTCCATTTTAATAAGAGTTGGCCTTTGCTCTTTCCCTTCAGCGTGCCCCTGAAGATCCTGGTGTCGCCATGGGTCGTCGGCCCGCCCGGTGTTACCGGTATTGTAAGAACAAGCCGTACCCGAAGTCCCGCTTCTGCCGAGGCGTCCCGGATGCCAAGATCCGCATCTTTGACCTGGGGCGGAAGAAGGTGAAAGTGGATGAGTTCCCACTGTGTGGCCACATGGTGTCCGACGAATACGAGCAGCTCTCCTCGGAATCCCTGGAGGCTGCCCGTATCTGTGCCAACAAGTATATGGTGAAAAGCTGCGGCAGAGATGGCTTTCACATCCGAGTGCGGCTGCACCCCTTCCACGTCATCCGCATCAACAAGATGCTGTCCTGTGCTGGGGCCGACAGGCTCCAGACGGGGATGCGGGGCGCCTTTGGGAAGCCCCAGGGCACAGTGGCCAGAGTCCACATCGGCCAGGTCATCATGTCCATCCGCACCAAGCTGCAGAACAAGGAGCATGTGATTGAGGCCCTACGCAGAGCCAAGTTCAAGTTCCCAGGCCGCCAGAAGATCCACATCTCCAAGAAGTGGGGCTTTACTAAGTTTAATGTGGATGAGTTTGAAGATATGGTGGCCGAGAAGCGTCTCATCCCAGATGGCTGTGGGGTCAAATACATCCCTAATCATGGTCCTCTGGAGAAATGGCGAGCCCTGCACGCCTAAGAGTCTTGGTGCTGTCCTCACCTTACACCTACCAATAAATTAACTTCCTATCAAAAAAAAAAAAAAGAGTTGGTCTTTGTTTTTGTCAAACTACAAACACCATTCAAGTATTGGGAAGCGATTCCTCAAAACAAAAGAGCAGTCTTCATTCAAAAAATTAAATCAGAACCCTGATCAGATGACTCAATGGGTTGGCGTGTCGCCTGTACACCAAAAGGTTGTGGGTTTGATTCCTGGGCAGGACACATAGTAGGTTGCAGGTTTGATCTCGTGGTTGGGTGTGCATAGGAGGCAACTGAAAGATTAATATCGTGGTACTCTGGCAGGCTAAATAGCCATCTCAGCCAGTGATTAAAGAAAACTGAATTTATTTAAGGAAAGGGGGATGGAAGGTGGGAATATCCAACAGAAAGGGCTACACAGAGAAAAAGGGGCCTTGGTGGCAGGTGCAGGGGGTTAGCCCAGGATGAGCAGCCACTGTCCATTGCTCCTCTGCTTGCAAGTCTCATGGGGTCCCTTGGTTTAGAGGTTAGGGGATATGGTCCTGTGGGGGAATGGCACAGGGGTACTCCTCGGAGGGAGAGCATGCACTGGATCCTTTGTCCTGAGTGTATTTATCTCTTTCTTGCAGGTGGAAATCTTAGGGAATTTCTCAGGGGAGGATCTTAATAGAATACTCATCAGCTTTCCAGGGGTGCTCTCCACCGATTGGACTGTACCAGGGCAGGAGGTCATTGGTCAATGTAGCTGGTCCTGAGGCAGCCATTGTGTCACTTGTCTGGTTTTGCTACTTTTCTGGACCTGAAGCTGAAATACAACAGGCCTAAATGTTATCTGTAGGGAGGAAAAGATTAAAGGTCTAAACCGCCTGACCAGTGATATGAAAGATCCAGGGTACAAACAGTATGACCAGTGATGTGCTAGCGGAGGATGGGTTGCCTGGGGGCAAGGTTCTTGTTTTCCCAGTTTTGCCCCAAGGGAGGAGCTTTCTGCCCTGTTGAGTTTCTGTACCTGGCCCATCATCCTTGCTCTGGGGGGTCTAACACCCCCCTTCAAGGACTTTTTGCCACTGAATTTTTTCAGAAAAAAGGAGCAAAGGGCCTTCTTTCCTTCAGATCCTTGCTCTCGGTCAGAGGGATGATGAGGTCTGAGCACTAAAGGAGGCTGTGATAGTGTGTAGGGGTGGTATTTTCTGAGTACAAGTAGGACTTGTAACCTGGTGGATACAAACTTTTATCAATTTTGATATTATTGGGACGAAAGCTAGAATAACAAGAATTATGACAAATAGTCCAATAAAAGGAAAAGCTCCAGTTGTTAATAATTTCAATTCAGAGGATGAGAGAAAAATGAAACATTAATTTGGAGAGCTGTAATAAAATATTTAATAAAACTAGATCAAAATCAAGATCTAGTTTAGTTTAGTTCATGGGTGAAAAATAAAACTTTGAAGATAATCAACTGAACTGTAGTCTTAAAATTTACAACTGTGTTTGTGGAGTCTATTGAAACACATTTTCCCTCCTAAAATTACCCTCTTTTTTTTTTTTTTTTATCAAAGAGCATTACATCTAGTTTTAATTTGGTCTGATTATTTGCATGAATACAACAAGAATAGTAATGGATTACATAGGCTCTTTCAGATCTACTTTGCTAGAATTTTACTTACAGGGAATATTCAGATTGAGCTTCAGTTGATGTTTTTCTTTCTCCTCCTTTCTCTCCCTAAAAATCAATTTAAAAAATATATCTTCAGGTTAGGATTTTTAAAAATCGGAAAACTACAAGCTGCTTTAGAAAAGCAGTTTCTCCCAGGCTCTAGCAGAAATATGAGTATAAGTCTCAGAGCACTCTAGCACAACAACACAGTTTTTTCTTTTTCTGCCTCATTAATAGCACCTGCACATAATCAATATTGAAATACACTGAGTGTTCAGATTATTATGACCTCTGAACGCATAATAATTTGGCCACTCAGTGTGTATGTGTTTGTGTGTGTGTGTGTGTGTGTGTATATATATATATATATATATATATATATATATATATATATAGTATATATTAGAGGCCCGGTACATGAATTTGTGCAGGGGTGAAGTCCAGCCAGCCTGGCCAGAGGGAGGGGACATGGGCGGTTGGCCAGTCTGCCTGCTGGTCAAACTCCTGGTCGATGGGACAATTTGCATATTAGCCTTTTATTATATAGGATATACACTGAGTGGCCATATTATTATGGTTTAGAGATCATAATAATCTAGCCACTCAGTGTATATACATCACCCACCATGAAATGTGGAAACCTCACTCTGAATCTCTGAGACTCATCAGCAAACAATGACTCCTGAGTGTGGCAGCCCTCACCCCCTTCCACCTCAGAAACTGTGCATCCCCTTTGTGTCCTTTTAGTCTCTTTAGTTCAGTGTTACCCAAAGTGTGGTATGCGTACTCCCAGGGGTACGGGAAGAGTTTGGTGGGGATATGCACTGCACCGTGCTTAGCTGCGCCTAATTCCACGTTCTCATGAGTACGAGGGGTACTCAGCGTTACGAAAATTATAGAAGGGGTACACATATGTCAAAAGTTTGGGAAACACTGCTAGTTGATCTCAGAAACAGAGGAACGAAGGGGACTCTGCCTTACCATAGCTCCCACCTGGGGCTTGTCTGCCAGTTGGTGGCTTCCCGATGTCCTGTTGTCCACAGTAGGAGCATAAACTGGAAAGGAAAATGGGGGTGGGGGGTAAAAGGGTTGTAAGCTAGTTCAGTATCTGGTCAAAACTCTAGTCTTACTTCCTCATTCTGACTGACTTGGATGGAGCTGCGGGGATCCTCAGGGGCTACCACAGGAGGAGATATATAGGTCAGAGCCTCCCCATGAGTTCAGTTCAGGTTTTGGATCCGGAATTCCCCTGGACTAGCAGATCTGCGAAATAAAGATTAAACTTTCCTTCCTCAGAGTGCTGGCTGATTGTTCTCCCGTGCATCCTGCCACAACCAAGCCCCTGTGCATTCATTGGTCAAGGAATGAGATTATTCTTAACTCTCACCCCACTGCCACAGCCATTCCCAAACTCGGAAACTCTTTGGGGGTGGGGGGAATTAGAGCAGAAAAAATCCCAAATCCATATGGAATAACAAGGACAGTGAGATTTCTGCCTTTGGCTTGGATAACTTTCACTCTTGAACTGCAGGAGGGACACAACCTCATTGCTTAAGTTTTCGTGGGGTATCCTAAACAGTTACTACAGTTTTCCAAAAAGATGGTCATCATCCTCTAGCTGAGATCCCCTCTTTCAAGCCATTTCAGGCCTTAGCCCCCATCTTCCTCAAACCCCACCTCCCCTCCACAAAACAATGTAGGCCCAGCCCTCCAACCCAGTCCTTTGTCATCATTCCCAGAGTGTTAAAAATTTCCTTTCAACTCTGTTTTTGCTAACCCTTGTGCAAATGGAGTTGTGGGTCGTTTGATGGAAGGGGGAAGGAGGCCATAGTTTAGATGTTGGTTTAATCCTAATGAACCTAAGGTCTAACATATTCACCACCCTAAAGACTCATTTTCTTCTGAGAATGTGTCCTCTTTATAATGTGTCTTCGACCTTAATCTGTCTTAATAATACCCTTGGCCTTATTACCCAAAAGCAAAGACTTGTCCTAGACTTTATTTGCTTACATTGACTACTAATGACTTGGCCTGCCTCACGTGGAGAAATAATAGCTGGCAGCAGGCCCTACCTGCTTTTTCAGATCTGGGGCTGATTAAGTGTGTTTCCTTACCTCTCCCTCCCTTCTCATATCTAGTAAGCCATTTACTTTGCTAATTGAACACGTTACATTTTCCTCAGAACTGCCCCTTTCCCTCTCCAAACCCAAAGAGCTACAGTCATTCAGGAATTGATCATTTCTCACACCACTGTGAAATAGGAATTTTTAGGGATGAAAAAGGCAGGTTTAGGGAATTTTTTAAAATTAAGGGGGTCCATGGAAGAAACAGAGGGCTACAGAGCTACAAAGGTTACATTTCCATAGACAAGGAAGCAGGGGACCTGCAATAGTTACATTTCCCTAATGAAGGGAACTGGGAGTAGCCAAAGGTCTATATTTACAAAAAAAAAAGGAGGGCCTCACAGTCCTACCTGAGGTTTGACCTTTGAACCCAAGAGTTGCTTTAGTGACAAATCAAAGGGGAATAGTGGCCAATCAGAGGGGATATTGAGGCACAAAAACTGCAGCCTTTATAAAGGAGGATGGGGGGTGGGAGGAGAGGAACTCAGTGGGACTCCTTCCACCTCCCCAGGTGGGAGTCTGTACTTGTTCTTCAATAAATTTCCACTTTTGCTATACCATCTTCCATCCGTGGATTCATTCTTTAACTTCTACTGACAAAGAGCCCGGGAACCATCCTGCCCAGGGGAACAGCGCGTGTTCCAGTGCAAAAATCCTGTATCAACTGCAATTGCCAACTGCTTTTCTACCCCGTCCCTTTTCTATGCTGTTTTCAAGGCGATCTCTCTTTGTCTTTTTTGTAGCTGTTTTGTTGCCTTTTGTTGTTGTTAAGGAAGCTAAATTAATATTGTTGTTGTTCTTATTTAGTAAGGACAGTAAGTTTATAAATTAGATTTCTGGTTTTCTGTTATCACTGAATCACTAAAATTGGCTGGGTTGATTTTCACCAAATTCCGGAGGTTTATTTGGAGTGGTGAAATTGAGGAGTCCTTATGACTTTGATTAAATTTAGGTTTAATTTTAGCTCTAGAAACCTTATCTCTGTCTCTCTCCACACCCCTCAAAGACTTAGCCTTTCCCTGGATAATCAGAAACCCCCCAAGGCAAAATGATTACAAGGTCTGCGCCCCTGGCAAGCTAAAGATACTGCAACATTTGAACCAAGTTATGTTTCAATTCCCCCTGTCTATTCCCTCCAGAAACCAGACTGAGGGATTCCTGAAAAGATCTCAGAGCTCTCTTCAAGACCTGAAGAAATGATTTATTACCCTTACCTCA